GGGAGGAAAGGGGGAGGGGCCGGTCTCATCCGCGGCCGCGGCGGCTTACGTCGAGCTCCTTCTCCAATCCCACGCCGCGCTCGGCGCCGGGGGGGTCCCCAACCTGGGCTGGGCCCCCCGCGGCGAGGACGACCGGCTGCTCGCGGAGACGGCTTCGTCGAAGATGAACCTGGAGGCGCTCATAGACTACCTGTGCCGACGGGGTGGCGATCAAAGCGGATCGGAGAGCCAGGGGGGCGACGCTGCGTATATCAGCCCGACGCGGGATCGTGGGTTTGCACTCACAGGGATTGAGTCTCTTCTCCTCAGCGCCCCACGGGCGGATCTCGTGGAGCCGATCATCCCACTCTACACCGGAGGGGATGCGATGCCTGCAGAGATCGTGAAGGACATTGTTGGAACTCGTGACGTCTACGACGCGTTATCGAAGACCCGCTCTGCATTAAGAGAAATGGGTCTCGTTTCTGAAAGCGCTTCTGGAGGGCCCAACGATTCGGTTGCTTGCAACGACGACACGACTTCGGAGAGGACGACGCGACAAACACAGCGACCCATGAACAATCATCCGGCGATCCGCCACTACCCTACACACTATTTTGTGCGCACTGTTAACTCGCGTGGTCCACCACCTGGCTGGAGCTACTACAGCGTGAATCTCGGCCTCAAGTCTGAGGCGATGAATATTCGATACACACTCAACCGAGCCGATCCCGACACTCTGCGGCGGGAGTTTGACTCACTTGAGGTTCAAGGGCGAACCAAGAGCAATACCCTGCACCTGTTTGACGAAGCATCAGAGAAATGGACCGAAGTACCCTGTGGAAGGCTCAAAGAATCGTCTGTGATGACTAATGGGGAGCCTTCATCACTCCCTTCTGATGAGGAAGAGCCGCCGATGGAGCGCACCACGCTGCGCGTGCTGACGTGGAATGTGCAGTTCAATCGGTATAGCGGTGAGCGGACTCCACTCGGGCGAACGGGCATTGATTGGTGCACCACCACGCGCTATTTGGCATTGAGTGAGGTCCTCTCGAAGACAGATGCGGACATTATAGCGATGCAAGAGGTAGAGCCCAGCTGGTGTAGCTTCCTATGCCAGCAGCCGTGGGTGCGCACGGGGTATGTGTTATCCTCCCAAGAGCGCAGCCACGCCATCGCACCGTGGGGTGTCATGATGCTTCTCCGCAAGGATTTGAATATTAAGGCATTTGAACATGCCAATGTGCCCGCGTTCTCAGGCCATATCAGCGTCATGCCAGAGGCGACCCTCACCTTATCGAAGCATACGCCACCAGTGATGGTGTCCTCTATGCATCTGCTCGCACCGTATAATCAGAACAACGTCAACAACCGTGAGGTCCAACTGGAGAATATGTTAAAACATCTGAAGGAGCTTGCAAACCAAACTACAGATTCGTCTTCGGCGCCGTCGCATGTTCTCATGGGGGACTTTAACGATACCCCTGCGCGATTCTTCCGAATCCCAAAGGAACTGGGCTACCGGGATGCGTGGGAGGAGTTGCATCCCCATTGGATGTCTGCAGAGGCTTCGTCTTCCAGCTCATCTGTTGCCACCGCCGGCGAGGCGGATGGTGCGAAACGCGGTTACACCATCGACGGCGATGCCAACCCATACGCAGGTCGGATTATCGAGAAGGAGTTCTACGGTCGCCCGGATCGCGTGTTATACTCGTCAAAGCATCTCCAACCCACCTGCGCGGAGCTCGTGGGCACGCAATCGGTTTTGGAGGTTCTGAAGGAGAAGGGCATTACGAGACAAGTGGATCACCCACAGGATGATATCCCCTCATACCTTTTCCCGTCGGACCACTTTGGCATGCTCGTTGAATTCCAAGTTCTGTAGTTCCGAAGGGGTTGGGATGATCCGGAAACGACGGAAGGGGGAGGTTGGCGCTCTCGGAGCAGAGAGTGGTGCGGCACGAGAAACCACTCTGCCAGGGGTTCGCTTTGTACGACATTAACTTTGTACGACATTAAGCATGCAAAATAAGAATGAGGAAAAAGTGAGGAGAAAAGCGACCGGATTGGGATGTTGTGTATACTGATATGAATTCTTATTATTTTCCAATTTTCTCCAGGGTGGAAGGTATTGATATGATATGGTTTTATTTCCCACGTGTGTTCACTCTCAACCTACTTTTATTTTAGGTGAGTTCATTTTATATCGTAGAGTGGGAAGGAAAAAAAGTTTCACATTGGTTCCTTTTTCAAGAAATAAAAAACACTATTTTAGCCGAATCCTCATCACCAGTGATCAACCCCCCCACCCCCCTCCTTATGTCCTTTCGATACACCAATAACCTCATCGGCGTGTTAAAGCACCGGCTTTGCCTTGAAGCCGCGCATCGCGATATCGCGCGGCGGACCTTCACCGGCACCTGCGATGGCATTGAGGTGACCTGCAGCGGCTTTGGCAGCGTCCTGGCGATGCGGCTGCTCGATCCCGCGCGCTGGGAGCCCTTCTACCGCACCACCACCACCACCACAACCTCGATTTCGCCTTCTACAACAAATCCTTCTTCTTCTTCTGATGGCGGCCTCGATCTCGTACGACTCGCGCGCAGCGTTCGGGCGGCGACGTGGGAAGCCCTTCAGCGGATTTCCGCCGCAAAGGAGGAGGCGCATGCGCGGTCGCTGCGCGCGAACTCTCAACTTCTCGCGCGCGGCACGCTGCGGGAGTGGTATGAGGAAGACGCGACGACGCTGCGGCCGCACACGTGGAGCGGGTTGAAAGAGGAGCTCGCCACGCCGTGGATGCAGGCCGTGCGCTACGGCAAACCTCGCCCGGCGCGGTATCGGATGACCACCACGGGAGAAGAAACCCAAAAGAAAGAAGATGGGGAAGCAAAAGGGGATTCGTTTTCAAGAGGGGGGGTGGCTTCGCAGGGCTGTCGGGTGAGGGTTCTGGAGGAGGAGGACTGTCAGCCCTCGGGGATCCCAGTGGCCTCCACGCATCCTCTATACACCGCGGCGTTGATCCACCTCGAAGGGGATGCGAACGACGACGGGAGGGCGGGGAGTCGGATCAATGCGCAGGCGGTGTTGAGAGAACAACGGCGGGAGATGAGTCAAGATGAGCTGCTCTTTTGGGAGCGGGTGGAGTTCATCCGCTGCGGCCAGCTGGGCAGCATCCCAGGCGGCGTGAAGCGCGGCTACGCGGATCAAGCCTCCACCGTGGTTGATTCAGTCGAGGATAAGATTGAGCTCCGATTCACGGAATGAACAGGTGAGTAGAGGAAGGCGTTTGGCAAAAAAAATTCTATGCATGCATTCATATAGTGATATATGCGTTCATTTAGACATCTTACTGTGTGTGTGTACTGCTGCGATTCGTGCACACGCGACAAAATGATGTTTTTGATATTATCTCATGAGAAAAATTGCCTGTAGATTTAATTATTGAGTTTGATTTATCATCTTTTGAAGATCAGTGAAACATCGTCACATACCTCTCTCTTGCAAAACATAAAAAGGAAATCCAAAAGAAAGCGATCAGAAGCTGTAAAATCCACAAAAGTGGTTGCCTACATCATTTATATGCCAATAATAATACAAAACAACAACCACGAACTCATTTAACGTCCAAAAAGGAAAAGAATAATAAGCGCCTAAAAGGAGCTCTCCGATGTTGCGTCGTTCGTTCAGCCAGCTGCTTCCGATCGCGGGGACCTGCGTGCCGTCGAATCTGCATTCATCAACCGATATCGCGTTCTTTTTCCCACGTTTTCAGCCCGCAACGCACGTCATGGCGATGGGGATCCCCGAGATCGAGGACGCCGTTCGTGCGCTGCAGCCCGACCACGCCACAATCACCGTCAGCCTCCCTCGCCTCGGGCGTGCAAAACGGGGAGAAGCGCAACGCTGCTCGCGATGGACGACGGCCGCCGTGCAGCCCGGGATGTCAAACAACGGATCCTCGCAACTCGCAGAGCGGTTGCGGGATCGTGAAAAAGGGCTGGAGCTGCTGGAGCGTGGGATTGATATCTTAGAAAACCTTGGCGGTCTTCACGCCCCTGCCGCGGCGATCCCGCAGGCCCTCCGCCCGCTCTACGCCGTTCGCTTTGAGCTTCTCCACGGCACCGAACACCTTCCCCGGCCGGCCTACGCGAGGCGGATGCACGTGCAAAAGACGATTCTCCGACAATCCGCACGGCTGCTGTTTTACAACGCCACGTGGGATCGTGAGGATCTTCACCAGCTCGATACGACGTGTGTGATTCTCGCGCACTTTATTAAGGCGTTCTGTGCGCTTCATCCGAGGCCGTTTAACACCCCTCCGCCCGCTTCTCCTGGGGGTGGCGGCACCGGGAAACGGGTGAAATCGAGCGTGCGCGATTGGCAGCTTCCCGTGGGGGATGCCGAGCACCCCGAGGTGGTCTTGACGTTGCCGATGGTGATGAAATGCCTGGAGGAGTGCCTGGTTCTCGCCACCGAGGCGTCGAGGCATCACGGCGAGGAAGCCCCCGATTTGCGTTGGTTGCCGCCGAAACTTCTCGTTCTCAAGGCGCTGTTGAACATCCCGTTGACGGGAAACCTCTTCTTCTCCTCGCAGGATCTCGACCGGGCGCTGGAGTTGGTGGATGCGATGACGAGCCGGTCGAATCCCATCCTTTACGGGCTTAAGGAGCGGGAGCAGGAGCCCGAAACGGGGCTTTTTCTCCTCCTCCGCGCGGAGCTCAAGGCGCGGATGTTTGATTGGACCCTCCCCGCCGGCGAGGTGGATGGGGCCCTCCTTCGGGGCTTCGAGCAGGCCGCCAAGTTCTTCTCGACGCCGTTTGAATCTGCGCTTGACGTGGATGGGATCCTCTCCGCCGCGCGCGTGCACGAGCGGTGGTTTGAAACCCAAGCCTACGCGACCTGCCTCACGAGCGGGGCGGTTTTTCTGCTCAACGCACCACGGCCGCCCTCTCAGAGCCCGCGGGAGGCCGCCGTTTTTCTCCCTAAACAAACCTTCGATATGAACCCGTTATGGGGGGTGCGGTCGTCCTCGGAGGTGATCTTCGCGGATGTGGAGGATCGGATCGCGTTTCCGATCGAGCAATGCCGCCGCCGCACCGGGGAGGCCTTCGATCGCGCGCTGCAGGTGAATCGGATGGTTTTTTCGGAGCACAAGATGAACCCCCAGGCGGCGTGGATCTTGCTCGGAATGGCCTGCATGTACGCCGATACGCGGGATTACCTCTACGCCACCGGGCTCTTTGAAACGGCGGGGAAGTGCGTGGAGGAGAACTACGGGGCGACGTCGATGGAGATGGTGTTGGTGCAGAAGTTGCGGTATGAATTCCTCGCCGGGGTGGGGTCGGAGCAGGAGGCGAAGACGGCCTCACATGGGGTGATTCGCCTGCTGAAGGAGATGGATTCGCTTTCTTTTTAGCGCGCGGAGGGGGAGAGTGGGCAAAAAAACAAAAAACACGTTTTCTTCATTTCCATATCAGGGTGTTGGTTTCTCTGTTAAACGTTGCATCACGCAATAGGTACGGTTTTTTAGTAAAAGGTCGCTGTTTGTTTGTTCGCCTATTCGGAGGGGTAGGAAAGACGTGTGTAGAAGATTATCGGTTTCAACTACCTTTACTTTCATAAAAGGAATCACCGCAGCAGTTTTGTTTTTAGAGGGCGCTCTATAGTACCCTCTTTCTGAGTGCTTAATTTGGCTTTTGGTAATCGTTCTTTAGAGGTACATACCCCCACCCACCCCTCTGATACACATGCTAGGTACGCTCCACTTTTTGGAGGGGCAGATGTGCAAAATCATGTAGAGGATAAGTGTGAAGAGCTAGCTCATTAAAACTTCACGAAGATCCTCCTAAGTGGGAGTGCGTTCTTTGGGAGGTTTGTCTGTACTTGAGGGAGAGAGGTAGAGTGCTATGACGGCGCTGTGGATCGCAACTCCCTGAAGCTCATGGATGCTCGCAGGGGTACGGTGAATTTGATGATTCCTTTCAGGGATTTCGCCTTTTCCTTCTACCTCTCCTTCGCTATTATCATCTTCCTACATGTGTATTCGTGGTGTTCACTGCAGCGAACTACAGATCTATGGTGTTTCAACCATGTGATGAAATCGCAGGGGCTCCTGCTCCATCCCCATGGCCTACCCAAGCAATCTTACGAGCCCCCTTGTTGTGGGTTCATCTTCCTGCATCACGATCACCTTCTGTCAAGTTATAACGTGCTTGTAGTTTATGGTATCGTTTTAATAATTGAATGAAGTCTTGACGATGCGAATAAAGATAGAATCCTTTGCCAGCATGGTGAGTCCAGGTTTACCAATGGATTGATTATTTCCGATATGTGATTAGTAGCCTTCTCTTTACATTCATACACATATGAAAGGAGAGTTGCGTGGTAGCTACAAAAAGGTTAATCAAATGAATAGTCCATACGTATGAATGAACGGAAGGCAATCGTTTCCTTCCAAGCTGGATCGATTCATGCGTTTTCCGACCTAAGTGAATTCTTATTGAATTCTAGCATCCATATTTCAGTAAACCATTTTCGTAGTTGTGGCACATCGTTGAGTAGCGCCGCACTTTCACACGAAAATGATAAGCGATAATGAAAACCAATACTGTGTATTAACGAATATTATTAAAAATGGAATATATATATATATATATACGTAACAGTATGTTGCCGCTGATATCCTTACAACTGTCACGCTGTAGATATCAACACAGTTATGTTGGAAAATCACTGTAGAAGTCTGCAAAGGGAGAGGGCGCGATGTATTTGACATCGTCTCAGCGCTTTAGAAAACTGTACAGTCTTACACACGGCTATTAGGACTATAAACAGAAGGGCAGCGCCTTAGTTGCTCGTCCTCTTTGCTTTTCCTGTGTCATTTTTGTAGGGATTGTTGAAGTTTTCATCCTAGTTGCTTATCTTTTTTAAGTTTCCCGTTTCGGATCATACAGAATAAACCTGGATTTCATATTTTGAGTTTTTTCTCTATTTACATATACATATATACCCATGGTTGACGACGATTTTCCTAAGGTTAAACAAACGTTGGCATTTGCTTCGGCGTCTACTTTCGCCGAGGGGAACAACCACAGACGTCTTTCCTCGAGTAATTCGAAAAGTGCTAATGAAGTTCCTCCTTTATCGATGCCCATGTTTCTCGAGGAAGAAAGTGGTGCTGTTAAAAAAAGGCCTCATGATAACATGAGCAGCACAGCGCCGCCTGCGCGGCAGGCAGGAAATGGTCCATGCAACCGCGGCTTCTCGTCATCGCCAAACAACTCCACCTCCCACGTATCCAACCGGAGTGGACGCTCCAACGGTGGAATGGCAACCTCGCCGGTAAACCTCCCGGTGCCTATTTCACCCGATATCAAAAAGAGTAGGGTCCTTTCTGAATCCATGGGATACGGAAGCAACGAAGGCCCCGAGGAGGAGGCGACGGGGGTGGTGGAGTACTGGACGCGCACCCTCCACAGCCTCCCCTCCTCTCGCCACGATAGCGTGCAGTACGTTTTCATCTCCATGCTGAAGTTTTTGGTGGAGGAGATCCGAACCACGCCACCGCTGCAGCAGTTATGGACCCTTCTTCTAGTGGTGAGTTTGCTCGGAGGGAATGTGTTGCAGGTAATTGGGTTAAACTTCTGGTTGACCAAGTTTCCTGCGGAGGGGGCGCCTGGAAATTACACCATCTTCGCCGTCTCCAGCCTTTTGTTTGCGATTTTCTTTATTGTTTTGTTGGCTCTTTACGTCTTTATTCACTCACCCGATCTGTCGTTTGCCTGGCATGGATACGGCCTCAAACTGCTCGTGCTCGCCGGGGTGTTGGATGCGCTGAGCAGCACCTTGTCGATCTATTCCGCCTCTCACACGCCAGAGATGCTTCAGACACTCTTCACCGCTTTTGTTCCCGTCTACACGGCAGTCCTTGCGAAGCGGTTTTTACACGATGCCAGGGATTATTTCAATCAGTGGACGATCGTGAGCTTCTCGCTGATCGTCGCCGGGGTGCTTCTGGCGTCCCTTTCTCATTTCTGGGCGGCGGTCGCGAAGAAGAACGGGAAGGAGAACCGCGATGGGGAACCGTCGTCGGCGATCTCTGGCTACGAGCAGGTGATCTGGAGCACGCTTTTCTTTCTTTCCGTGCTCCCAACCGTCTTTTTAAATATCACGCAAACCGTATACATGAAGCGTTACACCAATGAGGAGGAGGAGGAGCTGGGAGGGGAAGAGGGGCGGTTTGACGTCTTCGGCTCGCCCCGTCGCGGCCACGACGAGGGGAGCGGCGAAGACGACCTGGAAGCCGCCGGATCCCCAGGGGTTTCCATCGCGGCCTCCACCATGGCCTTTTCCTCGCATTCGGGCCACTCCACGACCGCGTCGCCGCCGCCGCAACGCGGGGAGGACACCGCGGTGAAGCTGGTGATGCTCAGCGTCGATACGACCGTGCAGTTCCTCTTCGCGCTTGCCTTTTTGCCGCTGGATGCGCTGCCGTGGTTTGGGGGGAGTCGTGGGATCGGCCAGACGTGGTCAAACTTCCTTTCCGGCCTCCAATGTGTCTGGCGGGAGCCGGGGAATCTCGCCTTTGGCGGGGTCTACACCGCGGGCTTCGTCCTAACCTACCTCGCCGCCTCCTATCTCAACCAACGCAGCGTGACGCTCTGTGCGGTGGTCGGGCAATTAACCTCCCCGACCACCGCGATGGTGTTGCTGTTCGTTCCCGCGCTCAACCTCGGTGGGGAAGGGGCGTCGTGGGGGGTGAGCGCCGTCGCGGTGGGGTTGCTCGCGGCCGGGGTTCTCGTGTACGTCGCGTGGGAGGCCCAAACGCGCCCTGCACGAGGGAGGGGAGGGCAGGGGATGGCGATGCCGTTACTCGGACGACGAAGGACGGAAGGAGGGCGCGGAGGGGGGGCGTGATCCCTCCGCCTTCCCAGTTGCTACCGAGCCGCCAGGACGGCTCGGGGGAAGACGGGGAGGGTTGCTGGATATGGGACTCATGATGGTTATAATACTCACAAGGAGAGAAGGCATCTTCAATGGAAGGGAAATAGAATTTTTATATTTTTAAAGAAATAAAAAATGGTGTTGTTATTGCCGTTACAGAATGTGTACCTCGTAAAATGGAGGCAAATAAATTGCTGATTTGATAATATATCTATTTATCTATCTATTTATCTATCTATCTATATATGAATATAATTTTCAAATGCGCTAAGTAATACGGAAGGACTAACTCTGTTGCTTTTTCAATTCAACGTTTGAGAGGAGCTACTTTTTTTTTTACAACTTCTTGGAGCATATTTCAACATACGAGTGCATATATATATATGTATATATATATATATGTTCAATAGAGAATGACGAGTATTTTATCTTGGATAAGTATGGTTTCTCATTGCGCTTAAGTGTAAATTCCCGTATCTGCATATATCCTTTCCTTCAATCGAAATCACATATCCTGTGAAGTTTGTTTTTTTCCCTCTTTTTATTTTTTCTTCCACAAGACACGCTAAATCAAGGTGTTTCATAGCAAAAAATGAGATATCCTGAATGAAAATGTAGGCGTCAGGTTCACAGTAATTTATAGGGGCGACAGGCTTCTCCTTACCTCAGGCATTTCTTGTGTAAAACTATTTACTCACCTAACTATAGTTATTGTTTACTGAGTTTATTTCAATATCAAGATGATTTTATCATGTCCAAATGGATCCACGACCCTCTTGTTGTTCGTGTTTCGGAAAACAGCCGTAGGAGACAAGTCAATTGGCGGAAAAAGGCAGCATATTTGACCAAATAAAAACGGCTTTGAGGTTGCAAAAAACAACACAACAATATAGTGTTGACACTCTTATATGGAAATGCAAAGTTAAATCTTCTCCTCTTTCAGTGAGCAACTTTCATTGTTAGCGCCTCCCTTCCCCCTTGCTCTCTTTCTTGTGAAGATTTTTTAAAGAAGTTTATCTCGATAGCTTCTAGTATTGCAACTTTTTCCCATCAATACTAGGCTCTCGCGATATCAAATTTATTGTGGTCACAAGTATCTTTGAAAGTTTTTTTTAATTATTGACAAAAAGCGTGAATATTGCTTAAAGTGGGAACATTGCGTGCATATATAGGAGCAATTTTATATGCACGTGGCTGGAAATAAATTCTATACATCATTTCTGTATTTAAAATTCTAATTTAAAGGGGGAGTATGCATTTATACCGATTAGCTTACTAAGTTATCTGGCATTAGAAAAAAAAAGAACATCAACGCATTCATTAATTGAAGGAAGACTAACAAACGATTTTTTAGGGTACTGTGGTTGAATTGTAGACCGCAGAGGGGAGCTCAACAGTGAAACTTATCATTATTTGATGCCCTCAGATCGAAGAGAAGACTCACTCCGAGAGGGTAATTCCAGTAATCTCGACCTGGGATCCCCGGAGGCCCCTGAAGTAATGTACAGCTTGAGCTTGACTGGCCTTGTGCTGCCTAGCAACGATGCCGATCAAGAAAATGAAAAAAAATCCGAGCGACATCAGGAAAGCTGCACTGAATTCTATGCTGGCGCGGAAATCGCCTCTCCTAAGAGGAATGAAGTGTTAGTGGAAGAAGGGTTTTCAGTGGCGTCGTGGGATTATGTAAAGCAAACGGCCCGGCACGTCGTGCGGTCGATAAACTTATTTAAAGAGAAAGTTAAATGTATGAAATCAAGGCAAATTATTCTCACATTGATTTTCATCATCTTGCTGATGTCGGGGAATGTGATGCAAATTCTTATGCTGAACTTTTGGCTCGTTAGTTTCCCTTCAGACGGTGCGCCTGGAAATTATACCGCGTTTGCATTGCCTGGTATTGTTTATTCTATGTTCTTTCTTATTCTCCTCTGTGTGTATATCATCGTGAAGAGGCCAAATTTGCGTTTTGCGGGACATACTTACGGGTGGAAACTGATCATTCTGATCGGATTCTACGACACATTTAATAGCTGGCTCGCGACCTATGCGGCCTCACACACCCCAGAGATGCTGCAATCCCTCTTCACGAATCTTAGTCCTCTGTACTCGATGTTCTTTTCGAAATGGATCCTGCACGATCCTCGGCATTACCTCAACATCTGGATCGTAGTCATGGTAGTGCTCACGGTGGCTGGCATTCTCGTCGTTCTGGGTTTCGACCTCGCGGAGGGTTCGCCTGGGGCGAGCAGCCAGAAGTGGTTTATCCTCATCTTCTTCAGCTCCATCCCCTTTCGAGTGCTCATGAACGTCTACCAATCGCTGTATTTGATCGTCTACACCAGCGACGCCACCTTTGTGGAGTGGCTGTGCTATAAGCTGCAAGGGGTCCCCAAGGGCGAGGACGATTCCGACGCCTCTCCTTCGAAGTCCGGGCGGCTGACGGTGCGGGAGCGGGAATACCCGCAAGACAACACCGAGAACAACGCGCATCTTATGATTCCCTGCCGCTCGCGCTACGGGTTTTCGGAGGTCGCCAACGGGAGTACGTCTTCACGGCGGGAATTTGGCGGCTCCATGGGCAGCGCCCCCCGGATCACCGGGGTGGCGAGCCGCGCCGACATCGACGAACGCCAGCGCGAGGTCGTTTTGACGTTATACCACCAAGGCGAGGATGCTGCGGTGAAACTGGTGATGTTGGCGGGCGAAACCTTCGTGCAGATGTGCTTCACCCTCGCCCTTCTCCCTGCGGATGCGATCCCGTGGCTCGGTGGCAGCTCGACCGTGGGGGAGACTTGGACGAACTTCAAAGGGGGCGTCCGATCCTTCTTCACAATTCCGAAAAATTTCATCTACGGCTTCTTGTATACGCTGGGGTTCGTGTTTAACTACATCGGGGCCGCCTATGTAAACCACCGCAGCGTCACGCTGTGCTCACTCATCACACAACTCTCATCGCCGTTGACAGGTCTGCTGCTGGTGATGGCACCCAGTTTGAACGCCCTCAGCGCGGAGGATACGTCGTGGGGGCGTGATCTTATCGCCATTCTCATGTTAACCTTCGCGGCGCTCGTTTATGTGGTATGGGAGGAGTTAACGCATAAACAGATGCAGGAAGGGGAACGGGTGTTGAAGATGAAGAAGCTTCGTGTACGCCCTATAGAAGTGAATGACATCTTAAGTGAAGAAGGTAAGGATCAGGAACAATTTGGCCAAATCTGAAATTCATTTATTATCGGTACACATTCACATTACGCTTGTGCATATCCTGAGCGAATACCTATCAAAAAGAATTCAATTCTGGAAACTTTAATATTAAACTTTTAATGATGATCGCATGATTTAAGATATACTAAATGAATTAGCTGTTGGAAACTATTTTTTTTTCACCTAATTTTTTTTTTTGCTATGACCACGGAAAAAAAATTATATATATATATATATATATATATACTATATTTATCGATTTCTATGACCACTAGGTTCTATAAATACATAATCAGTATATTAAAAACTGCATGTACATCTCTGTCTGATTTCAGCCTGAGTTACATAGATTTTTAGCCTTTGCATTTCCAGATGTCATATTTCATGCTCAATGTCATGCCTTTGGTTTGTATTTCTTATTTAATTCTCTCTCTCACAACAAATAGTAGTAGTTTAATTATCAATCGCTTTATGTGTTTGTGAACCTTCAAGGAAACGGGAAGAGTGTGATTTCCTGAAGATGCCTCCGCCTTTATACATCAGGGGCAAGGGGATTCGGAAGGCCACGGAAGCAGCGGTGCGGCGGTGGCAGCAGCTTCGTTTTGACGAGCTGCGCGATCAGCTCGCCACGAAGTTCTCAGGGGAGCTCCGCCTGCCCATCTTCTGCTCTGCAACGCTCTCGCAACCCCAACCAAATCCGCCGGCCTCACCGTATATATCCATCAACCTCAGGGCCAATCGCTCCGATCTGATCCAGTGGCTGGCCATCGAGCACTTTGGGTTTTTCCACCCCGAAGGAAAGACCTCCGTGGAGACCGTGGCGCTCCCTCGCCCACTCGCCTCAAGCGAGGTCACCCTGCACGTGGGGCCTCCGAAACCCATCGGGTATCCCACCTCCATTGAGGCGGAAACGCTCAACTGGGCGGAAGGTGTCCTCCGTGGGGAGGCTCACGCGTATAATCATTTCTACGACGACTTCACGGATCCGTCGTCGAAAGGGTATCTCCCTCCGGTGCGGTGGATCACCCAACGCCTGCTCGACGGCGCCGTCAGTCGACGCGTGGACGCCCATTACGGGGTGACGGATCGCTCCACGCTCGAAACCCGTCGCCTCGCGCGGCGGCTCTTTTCCCGCCACCTCCCTCTCCATCAACTCTCCCCTTATTACGCCCTCGACGAGCTGCTTGGTCGGTGGGGCCTCTTTGGCGAGGCCGGGCAGATGCTCCCCCCATCGAACCCCGCCCCCGAGGCCGCCGAAGGCGACCCCGCCGCGCATCTTTCGCGCGTTCAGCAACTCGCCCTCGGGGGTGCGCTTTTGCCCGCCTTCCACGGCGTTTGGCTCCGCGGGGCGGTGTTAACGCATCGAGGGAGTGGCGCCACGGTCCTCCTCCTCGGCCCGCGACGCTCCGGAAAGACCACCCTCGCCCTGCATTGCCTGGCCGCCTCGCCGGAGGTGTTGGTAACCGCCGCGGAGAATTTCTTTCTCTGCCCAGGCCGTTACGTGGCGGGGATGCTTGGCGTGTCGGAACCCCCTTCGACCCCAGAAGGGGGGGCTTTTTTAATCGCGAGCGTTCCGGGTTCGGTCTCCGTCGGGTTAGGGGCGGTGGTGGGGTCGCTTCAGTCCAACCCCGCGCTGTCGGCGTCCGTGCGGCCCCCTGCCCTCGCCACCCCCTCCGCGGCGAGGCAGCTGTTGCAAAACTCGGATGGGGTGGTGTGGGGGATGTCGCAGAAGTTTCGCGTGCATCTGGAGGAGACCTTCCCCCCTCTAAAAGGAGGGGGGGGGAGGGGGGAGGTCCCGCCCGGCCGTCCTCGGACCCATCCGTGGGGTGGTTCTATTGGGGTGGGAGGTGGGGGAGCTTTTTCGCACGGGCCCGGCGCAGGTGCGTTCGGCGATGGAAAAAATCCCGCTGGAACGGGCGTGGGATCATTTCGGACTCCTGGACGAAAACGCTTCCCTCGTGCAGGGGCATTATCTGCTACGCAGCGTCTACGATGGGGCTCATGGGGTTCAACACCTCAAGCGTATCATGGATGACACGCTAGGCGAAAGGGGAAAAAGTGGAATCGATGTGTTTCACCTGGTGGGATCTGTCAATTTTCAGCTAGCAATAAAAGTGGTTAATGACCTGTTGAATACATAATTAATATGGGAGGGCCAATCAATTCGGCTCGCTGTTAGCCTTTCCCTATTGCGTGGGCATTTGAGTGTGGGATGGTATGTGTTTTCGCCTTGAGGGCTGCTGCGCACCCCAGCCATGATTTTCCCTTTCTCTCTCTAAACCTCAATTAACTTGCCACCAGCACGGCGGACAGATCGGATATCTGAGCATGGGTTTCACCTTTCTGCCGGCGGTATCAGTCTTAGGATTTCATTAAATCAGCACCGACAGGATGGACACGCCAGCCAAGGGGAAATTTTCCCCCGATAGCCGCGGTGGCGTTGGTGTTCTCGCTTCCCGAGGAAGGGGGTCTTGACAGGATCCGCCTCGCGGGGGCGACGAGGTCCCTCCCACCAAGAAGATACCAATCGGTGGTGGTTGCACAGGACCATTTTTTACGCACATGAGACTTTAGCAAAATAGCAAAAAGCGCTGCTCCCTCTAGTTCGCCTTAGGGTTGGGAGGGGGGCACTGCCCGTGGCGCTATCACGCTTCCGCGTTGAGAAAAGCTGTTCACCATTCCTTTGGTCGCCCTAGATCGCGACGGGGTTAACGGGCGCCTGCCTGCCACATGGTCCTGTATCTCGGAAGCGCTGGGAGAGGGAGGGGAAGAAGAATCTCATGGAATATGCCTCGGAAATCGGGGTCCGCCCGCAAGACACATTTCGTGTGCGGACAAAATCCCGAACTAGATGGCGCACATGGACGGTGATAACGGGACCCGGACCCATACACACGTCAATTGAAAAAAAAAACACCTTTGGTGAGCAAAAGGAAAAACAGTGTCAAATAGGGAAAACGTTTATTTCATTTGAATTTAAGGGTAACTAGTAACAAGCTGAAATACGTTATAGCTAGAGAACAGGGGCACCCGAAATGCTCCGTTTAGCATCTCTCGTAGTGTAAAAAGAGAAAAAAAGGATTAAAGCAGTGTGCACGGGGGTGGATTCTTGCCGGCGTCCTGAGCCTCCTTCCCCAG